GTGGTGCGAGACAATGATGCCCATTTTCACTTTTCCCTATTAAACTAGACATCGACGAAATCGTGAAACTGGTATTCATTGGACACGATTTAGGTGTGGAGTTGCTTCCTGGTGAGTGATTTCTTGAATTTTACCGATGACATTTCTCTAATCTGAGTCCGCGAACGTGCCCAGCAGCATTGAAGAGATTAGCACTGGCGGTCGGTCGATTCGGGCAATGCTCTGAATCCTCGAAATGCAAAGTCCTCCGTCAGGATTAACAGGGACCCACTCCTGCGCTGACCATTGGTGGGCATCAGCTAGAAGTCGTCCAGAAGTTCAGGTAACTTGGCAGCCATATTAGCGCCGTTGGAATAGTAGATGAGATCAGAAACCGTATAGCAAGAGACGTAGGTCCTTTTGCCAATCTGTGTCATCTGTGGCGTCTGCGCGACATAACTCTCGCCCCCCATTGGCAGAGTTTACAATGCAGCCGTCTGTACAACAATACTGTACGTTTGCGAAACTTATTCTATCAGACGGAGAGACATAAAGAGGCTAGTTCCGTTCGAGCATCACTGTCTTAGCAGCTTAGCTTATGTTTGGTGGGAAAACCGCATGAGTAATGACCGTGTTCCGCGTCGCGCATTTGGTGCAGCAAGAGTGAGTTAAGCGCGCGGCTCCGTTATAACACGCACCAGACTCCGATGGCTGGGCCACGCGTTTCGCGAAGTGCGCTGTTTGCGCGACCAGAGTGTGGATGGAAGAAGAGAGGGGATGCCAAGTGATAACGTGGTTAAGAGGAACGAAGTTACTCATTTCAAAATTGGCGTCGGTTGGTATCTCCAGACTGCCTGGCTGGGGTCCCAAGGACGATGAACACGTTTGGTTGGATACACTGGTTGACATGGCGAAGAGCCGACCCTAATGGTGTTTGCGCTGAGTTTCTTTATCACGTCCCCCGCGCCTTAGCTTCCTCCTCCAACAACGATGATGACTGGTTTCACTACTAGTACTGTTCAAAGAAAGTGCTCACCATAGATCAAATGAGCCCCAGAGGGATTAAGTGCTTCGTTTAACTTCTTCAAGTTCTTTCAACGCATTACCGTCCAGCCACCCTGAAGCGTCACTCAAGCAGAGGCAGGTGAGCAATGAGCGTCAGAAGTGCACGATATAATGAAAGCGAGTGGTTCAAGATATAGCCCAGAGCGATGATGGAGAGTTTGTTACGCATATCCAATTGGGTGGTCCAAGCACTGTTTTCTTCCTGGTCACGAAAACTGCTAGCGATGCTACGCCGGTCCTAGCATTCAAACAAGATTGGCTATGTCCCTTATCCAGAAAGTTGTATACCCGTAACGGACAATATTGCACCGCCCTCGTAGAAGTCATACGGACAAAAACGATCCGTCTTTGCGGCGGATTAGTTAACCGAAATGATATGGCCGTCTGATACGTGTATCGATTGAACACCTTTAGTGAATGCATTGTGGTAGTGAGGATTGGTGTGTCCACCCAATCCTCGAAACACTTTCGGGGTGAGAAGTGTACACAAGAGTGCAAAGTGCTCTGCAACAGCGTGTATAGAAGCGAATGTATGATCTGCCCTCAAGAGACATCCACTGTTGACAAACTCTAAATATGTCAACCGGTTAACAAGTGGAGCACATGAGCCGAAAGAAGCGAACAGTAAAGACCTGTTCCCGATCTAATGGGTCACAGAGTTAAAGATAAAAATTGAGGTGAGGCTGCCCTGAAGCACTCCATTTGTCGAGGTTCCGGAAAAACCCAAACATATAACTTTGGAAGTCATAATGCTCATAAAGCACATTCAAACGTAGCGCGCAGTATATATCACATCATTTGCTGATAAAACGTCGGTACCCTAATGATCAAGATGGTTGAGTAGACAAACACCTCGACAGTCAACTCGAGCTACCGGTATCTGAATACTGGATGGTTTCTGTTGAATACAGCACCGGTTTTCTCTTTGGAGAAAAAGACAGATGGCAGAGGAGGCAAAGTTAACAGTTTGTTCACCCATGACCACTATTACATTCACCAAGCCAATAGGAAGGTGAGGTGAGGGAGGGAGCGAACACACACAACTGACAGATGCGCAGTCGGCAAAGTTCAGCTAAAACTAAAACACACAAAATGGGGTGGGTTCCACGACATATGCCATCATGATAAGGAAAACGGACAGGGTAAACAAACTTGTAAAGCAAATTTCGACAAAAAATGGATAAGAAAGAGCAATTAATAATCAATGAGTGAGGAGTAGACTGCTAAAGAGTCAGGTAATCGATTGCCCCCTGGATCGCGGATATATTGGATAAAGTTGCCAACCGCTGATATGGTGGATTCCGAGTGTTGGATCCCGAGTGACAAAACTGACAGTGAACCGAACATGCCTCCGACAAATGAATATGGGGACACAGAAACAGGTAATAATGCACGTTGAGTTAGATGGTGAACAGGCAGCAGAAGCAAGTGAACGAGCCAACTCGGATGATCCAAATGCAAAAGACGGTCGTCGAGTGCAACCCCTAAGAATTTAGTTCTAAACAACCAGCATTAGATAACAGCAGTCGGAGAGCCCACCGGAGATGTGCTGCCATCAACGAAGACTGAGTAACGTTGAGAAATGGGAACGAAAGCCAACCACTTTGGGGCCACGCAACTACAGCCAAGCTGCGCACCGCATCGGTGTGACAGCCACCACACAATGAGAAAGTGAGCGAAAGGCAAAGGATAAACCATCGCGTCGTCTACAGTCAAATGGAAAGCGGAACATGCCAGACGGGATTGTTGGGGTACCATGTCGATGCTGCTAATAGCTTCTTACCCTGTCCGCACAGATGGACGGCCAGCCGTCTCACTTGGGTGCGTTTATGGTCACTCGCAGAAGCAAAAAGTAAGTATGAAAATAAACGGCGTGATATGTCCAGATATGTTGTTACATAAGAATATACTCTTGGTCTGAAAGATTTTACTTTCAGTAGAATGGCAATTTCAGTCAGCGCGATTGACCATTTGAGCGCCCTGAATAAGCAGCTTTTGTGCCCCTTGCCATCCCAATCGGACACTTTTGGTTACTCAAAAATATTTTCGATTAAGTCTAGCAGTTATACTATTGCGTAATTGCAATTTGGGAATCGATTTCCGATTAATGTTGACTGTATGTGCAATCCGGAAAAATGCATTCATGGTATGTGGTAGGGTGTGTTGGAAAAACATCCTGAGTGACCAAAAGTCATCCCAAATGTGACGAATTTCGGCCACTCAAAAACATTTACAGTTTAGTCTAACGGCTACAGCATTGTATAATTGCAATTTGGAAATCGACTTGCACTTAATGTTGAAGAGATTTGCAAACAGGAAGTGTATTCAAAGTATGTGGTAAGGGTGCGTTGGAAAAGAGCATTCTGAGTGATCAAAAGTCGTCCAAAAAGTGACCAATTGGGATGGCCAGGGGCATAAAAATTGGTCACTCAGGGAGCTCCAACGGTCATACAGGTTAACTGAAATTACGACTTTGCTATAAAATAAATCGTTTTGGGAAAAGAACGGCGGTGCTAAAGGTCTTATTTAGCAACATATATGGACCTACCAAGCCAATTATTATCATAGTTGCTTTTTGCCTCTGTGAATGACTAAAAGCATGCCAAAATGGGACGGCTGGCTCTCCATTTGTGCGGACAGAGTTCCTATGGGAACGCAAATAGAAGTGCGGAAGTCAGTGGAGTTCCTGATGTGACTGTGGTTACAAGTGTGGTACAGAATGTCTGAGTTCGTTCTGGATTAACTCGGTTGGAAAGTAGGGAACGAAAAGCAGACAGAGAAGCTCGCATGTATCGCATACCACTTTTCTATCCGGTAAAACGTGTGGATGTGTTAAGCAATAAGAAAAGATACAGAGGACAAGGAAATTGTGGATGTTTATGATTAGACGGAAAATGAAAACAGGTGACGAAGAAGCGGAATAGACAAACTGTGATTCAAATATATATATATATATATATATATATATATATATCAGGAGTTCTCAACGGAGATCAACCTACTATCACTCTCACTTCGCGACAAAAAAGTAAATGTAGTGGGAGATTGAAAGAACGCGGAGCTAAGGCAATGATGAGAAGAAGAAAAAATGCTAGCCCAATGCAGTTTGGGCTATGTCAATTCGCCAGGAATACAAAGCTCCAAGCTGGAGCATCATTGGCTGAATGGGTCACGGCGTACTTTAGTCGTCAATGCACAGGTATTCGGGAGTGAACAGTACGCACGATCCAGTGTTCTGGAAATCATACATCTGGGTTAGGGTATCATAAGAATTTTCATACGTGAACACCGCCAAATGTGTACGTAGGTAGAATCCCTGAGATGTGCATATAATACCGGCGTTGACAACAAAGCCGATGCCAAAAACGAAATGTGTTCATTGGCACTAGGTGGCATGTTTTCGGAATCTGAGCAGTTGCGCGGGAACTCATGCATGTCAAAACCAACGTGTGCAGCGACTGTTAAAGAAATGATAAACCCAATCACATGCAGTAGAACAGTAGGTAATTGCCATGTACATCACGTGGTATCTGTTTCAGCGGATTAGTCTGGTATTCTGATTTGCAGTTACGAAACATAGTTTCTGAAAGCAGAGCACACTTATTCCAGGACAGTAACGCGATCTTTAAGCGCTCGTCGGTTATAGCAAGTTAGCGCTTAACTTGATCACCTCATATTGACCTGTTTTGTTCCGGTTAATTTGGACTGTTGTGCGCCTTTCAGTCATTATGCTACATTGTGTCACCATCTCAAGTACAAGAAATCCTGTTCCTAGCCGCCTCCCATAGACCATACAATCGCAGCAAGTGTAAGTAATTCGTGAGGCCAATGTAACAGCTAATAGTTAGCCGAAATATACAGATAGTGACTGTTCCCAGATGGGTAAAAACTACTACAACTAGACGAATGAAATTGATGCAGTCATGTTAAAATGCAGGTTATTTCAAATAACCTACCGGTTGGTTGCTAGCGGTGTTAGGAGAAGCAAGTGGGATCGTTAGCTCAAAACGTTCCAGGATGCGGCTCGCCAGTTCGGGATACACATGACAAAGATCGGCCAAATCATGACGATCGATGATCTGCACATCAGCGTAGGTGAGAGCTCGAACAGCGAACCGCGACTTGGGCGGCGGAGCCATGCTCATGGCGCCAACGGAGGGGACAGAGCCTGGAGGCAATAACTGCGCATTGTAAGGATAGATGGGCGAACAAAAACCAAGAGAGCCGAGCTGCGATCGCCTGACAACCAGTGTTGGAAGGCCACCGAAAAAGTCGCCGGGATTGAGAACCCCAAGGATGAGATCATCGGTAGTGACAACCTCCAAATTTCCCTTAACCAGATAGCACACGGAGGTGAGCAGGTCGCCTGTGTGGATTAGCGTGTCGCTCGGGGGCATGTGAACAGCTCGAATGCGTAAGGATATGTTGCGAAGACAACCGTCACTGAGGTCTGAAGATATCAGAAAAGGAAAGCGAAGAAATCGAATAAACGATAGAGCAAGGCGCAATCATAGACGAGAACTCAAACTATGGGTCTAGAGTAAGCCCGGAGGAGCATGCAAGAAGAAACAAGTAAGCTAAGGCGCAGTTCAATGAATCATTTCGTGAGGGATCGATAGTGGAAAAGTAACCTGATTTCACTGATGCACGTAACAACAATTGCGAAAAGAACACTTCGGTACGTACTGCAACCTTTAGGGGCCCCACGTGATACCCCCGTAGTAAGGACGGACCCATTCCAAATGTGATGGTTTTGCTGTTCTCCATATACGTAGGTAGTGCCACGAATGACCACCAATTTACGCCTGACCTGTAATGAGTTATTGTACTGAAAGTGTAAGCACTTTCCGGGATTCGATCGGACGGATATAGTTGCTGTGCCAAGTTGCCTTTTCCTCTGCATCATGTTGTCGTGTGCTTACTATGACCGTCGTTGATAGCCGCTACGAGTACTCAATAGTGCTTGAGAAGTTTTTTGAATAAACAGTGTTCGAAGGACGCATATTATAGTGCCAGCTTGCAAATGAGCTCAACCGCAAATACATGTAGTCCGAAAATGAACTAACTAATAATAACTTTATAGAGTTGAAGGCTTCCACATAAGCCCAATGTGCCTCTGGCTTTTTGTGGAACATTCCTCTATAGTTAGGTCATTACCTACCAAGGTCGGCTAGACACACAGGAGTTTCTAAAAACTGGTTATCACTTGATGACAATGCAATCTCAGACAAACGGTCTCCACATAGGTGGAAACCGATGGGTAAGTAGTAGTTACCACTTAGGTTAATTAGCCATATGTAGTCCCAGCAAAACCCGAGGGATTCGTGATCACAACCCTCTTCATGCAAGGCAGCAAACGGAGGCAGCAAGCTACGCCAGCCGACGTAACTGGGATCGACTTAGATTTCGGCGCCATGTTATTCCAATGAAGGAGTTTGTCGTAAACCGTTTTGGTGATTATAAGTGACTGAAAAAGCGACAGGTACAACAAGAAGCAGGGTATTGTTAGATGGTAATCTCAGAAACACGGTACCTTGGTGAAAATGTTTCCAAAGGAAAGCAAGGAGAGTATTTGAAATATTATAAGTGAAACTATTGACAAAAACGAATGAGGAACAAGAGGCCAGTAATTTCCACGTGAGTAGCATCGAAGTAAGGCCAGTGAAGTAGATTTAATCGAACTATGTAAACACAGCACATCACTCACAAGGAATCGAATCGCAGATACCAATGTCTTTCGACAAGAAGATAAAAATGGTCCCTAATTTAAATGAGTGAAGCAGTACACAGCTAGAGAATCGTATACTATGACAGTCAAAGACCTCATCAAAAGCAATTTTCCTGGACAGAGATCACTAGATAACTGGGGAGAAAGTAACCGAGTACCGCTTACATTTGAACGCTGGAGATCCGCCCAACATATCGCGATACACATAGAGACAAATGTCGGACTGTAACGACTCCGGAAAGCTGTACTGCACCATAGTCATGTCAATACCGTTGGTGTGTTCCCAGACTTGAGTTGAGTACTCCTCCAGACGTTGGCGTAACGTGCTCGGGATCTGATGAAACCGGATGAACTCTCGAATTCGGAGCATTTGAGCGTGGTACCGAGCAGTCCCACTGTACAACCGTTGGATCAGAGCTCCCACATTGCCAAATATGCTTGCATACATCAGAGCTGGGGTTTAGTTGTGCAAAGGGTGAACAGCGACAAAAGTCAAATGTGGACAAGGCAATCGAGTAATGTAAAAGGGTTACAGAGCAAAAGAAAGCATCGCATGTTTCCGAAGATCGACGCAAACTTCTAATATCCATTGAGACCATGGTGGTCTACTAATCCACTAAGAATAATGGGACGTCTAAAAGAACTACATTTAAACGCACAGTGCTACATCGCGAAGACTAACAAAAGAAATTTGCAGGTTGGCCGACTGATCAGCAAAATTGACTGATTGGACGATAGATGGAAAGCCTATGGATCTGTATGGCTAGGTTTGTGGACAGGGGAATCTTTCGACACAAAAACCACAACCAGTTTCAAGGTGCCTACAGATGGGGCAGAGAAGTATGAACAACTACACAGAGCACGTCGATGCCGATGGCTAAACCATACAGAGCACGTAGGTGGGTTGGCACAATTAAAGTAACGCTGTGGGTGTCGCGACGGAAGTGATACGCAAACCACTGAGGGTGTAATGTCGAAAGCACATGCGCACCGGGAACCAGCTTCAGATGATTAGATAATCTGCTGTAGCAGTGGAATTGTACGAGATAGGATATTCAGATTACCGGGATACTCTAGTAAACGGCAAAATGGTAAACGATTAGTCCGTTAGTAAGGAAAAGGAACCTCAGCCTCTCAAATGAGTTAATGACATCCAGAGCAAAATCGCGCCATCGGATAATGAGAAAACGGAATAAGCAATAATTCCTTTGTTAGCTAAACTGTTCGCTCACCTTGGGTAGTCTGCTGCACAGCATTAATCACTCGTCCAACTAATGTGCAGCAGACGTTCCGTTCACCTAAACACCAGAGCACTGATAATGTCATCTAGGCGGGTGACTAGAGGTTTGCAGCAAAGTTAAGAGAACAGTCCGTTTAGCAAAGGAACAACATGCGATAGCTACATTAACTCCTATATAAAGGCCAGCGACTCAATGCAAACAAGTGTGAAGTATAGTTCCCGATATTTCAGTACAAATCAACACACACCGGCGATTCATTCGCAATGCACTATCTACTAATATATTAATCGTGTTCCTGGTGGCTACACTTTAAATTCAATATTCTTCACAACCATAGTGTGGCGCGTATGATTTCTGATCCAATGTACCTAATGCACATTCCCTGCATGAAAACGGAAAAAGAGTGCACGACATATGGTCCGCAAATCCCCCACAGTGATCTCCATTGGTACAATTTACGTGCCGCGGGGAACACGGCTCAAATACGTACGTTGTAACAATATCACGAAAACGGTGACACTGTAACAAACTGATAGCCACGTACACTAATCAGGTGCAAATGGAGAACATATTTCTTCGAAACGATTCGCTCAGTGGAGATAGTTCGCTATATTCGGATCTCGAGGTGTGCTCGTTTCCCGGTGAGAAATGAGAAGTTAGTCTCATTTCCAACCACTCGCCTTGATCCTCACAATACTGTCCTCTTGATAGGCTACAGGCGTGTGGTTTCTGTGATGGGATGATGCAATCAGAGGGATGAGACAAAGTTACGGGACGAAGCAAGTAACCAGATTGCTAGAAACGATCAGATCATTTGATTAGACGTAGACGAGTCTCTGCATTTACACTGATTACTTAATACTTGGCGGCGCCAGAGTGAGTTTGCTTGACCTAATCAAGACAGGTATCTCATGGATGCAAAAAGCTCGTTAGTTATGGAAGCGGCCTAGTTAGATACATCGAGGCTTTCCATAGGCCAATAATTCTGTCAATTCAGCTGAGATTGGTTTGTTGAATAAAGCGTCTGTCCTTAAGAGAATAATTGCCGCGGCGGTTTCTATCCAGAGATCCGATGGAGTGATGTAACCGGAAAGCTACAGTGACAGGTCCAAGCAGTAAACTAGAATTCATAGGTGGAATGGAGATTCCAGTTGCGAGAATCGTGGACGACGTGGAAAACTAGAACACACTCAAAGTGCTAGTGCCGACTTTCAGTGTGCTTTATGTACACGATCAGAGTCGCAACAACAACTCGACGGCCAATCGTATCCACGCAATTCTACCGGAGAACTCAAATGAGCAACCAGAGACTTGCGATTAACAACACCCAAATTGCACACAGAGACCAGGGTTCGTGAGGGGCACCATCTATCGTTACGCACTGATAATGTCAACTCGCCTGGTGTGAGAGATTTGCAACCTGATTATCAAGTTCGGCGAACACATGAACAGGCACTGAGCTATTATTATTGCGCGAAATTAAAAAGGGATAAGTTGGTGACTAAAAGGTACTGGTCACATGGAACATGTAAATTTATGAACTACGCAAGAGCACGAAGAAGGGTGGCCGAAAGGACACAAGCTAGAGGTGAATAAACATTCGAAGTGTGAAATAAAAGCAAACTAGCGACATTCGCTTCTCCCGTAGAACACGATGGTCGATAACGCTCACGAATACGTTGGACTCGGTAATCTAGTATTGGAGACGGTGTGAAATAGAGAACGTAGCAGAAAGGCATTGATCCAAATGATACGAAACGGTGGAAACAGCCGCATAGGTGCGTAAACACCTCACTTCAGTTAAACCAATCAACTATCGACAGTAGACACCATAACAAATAACAATTGTACGATGTGAAAACAAAAAGGATCCAAAAGAAGGAACACCGGGAGGAAAAGACGAAGATTAGAAGCAAAAACCGAGTGTAACAGCATTGTGGACGTCTCGGCTGACACATGGCAGACAGTTCTCGATAACTGAGGTGATGCACCACAAGTATGGAAACGTTATGTACCCAATGAACTCAAACAAATTGAAAGCAACAAGCATGTAGAATCGGCCGGAATACCATGCACAGCAACTGTGTGATTATGGCTGTAAACAGCCAAAGGAAGATCGTGCGGGACTGTAGTTGATTTGCATCGTAGTACAGATGATTTCATCCACACATCCTATATTCGGTGTAAACGCAAATGACTAAGACCACAAGGGGGACATGGATGATAAACACGATAGATCCGGACTCAAATTAGAGGCATTCAATGCGCACGCTAATGATTCGACAAGTGGAGAAACATGTGCACCATGTTTCACGAAGAAACCATACGTCGAAATGACGTGGTTACGAAAGCATCCCGTCACTTACTGAAACGATGGACTATTGCCCGGCACCAGCAATCGAGGCAAAAGAGTCGGGCAGGTAGGCACTTTGTCAACACTTGCACTGATTGAAGACATAACAGACAGTAATTGGGGGAAAATATCAATCCCATGTTAGTTGTTCAAGTCCAGATCGAAATGATGCAACAATCAGTAAGGTAAGCTTTGTCAGCTTCTGAATCGCACCAGTAAATCACTATGATCTTCTAAGTGTCGAGAACGTTGACTCCCTGATGGGTTCATCATTCGTTTGTCTTAAAAATGTTAGACGATGCCGGAAATATATAAGGGACATAGAGTAATTCAACAGAGTGTGAGATCAGCACGATGATGCTATGTATACATTCACGCGAGCCAAATTAACAGAGAAGCACCTCAGCTGTGCGACCACATGGAAACGAATACACCTATTGAATGATCGAGTCTGTGAGGTCGGTTGTTCAAGCATAAAGAAAAACAAGTGCACAAACAACACCAAGTACGATTAACTAGTGTCAAAAGACAAGCAGCAGGTGATATACGTCGTTGTCTCTTCCGCCATTGGACCAATCAGATGCGAACACCGGTGTGGTATCGTCAATAAGTCTCTTACTTACTGAATGATTCATTTGCTTGCATCCTCGTGTATCACCTAATCGCTTGCACGAACTACTCATTTGCTTATGTATGCAACTCACTCGTCTACTTACTTATTTCACCGCGGTAGCCGCTTAATTGCACATTCACTTACTATCTGTTCACTTCCCTAACTATCTAGTTGTTTAGCAACCAATAAATCCATACCTCACCACCCTAGCATGGTAATTATCAACACCGATCCCCTATTATCTTAGGCCCCCTAATTGTCTATAAACGGATTTATCCACATGTTGATACAACTAGTTAACAATATTCATAATTACTGATTTAATTCCCTACCTTAATCACTTAACTACTTACTCACGCACGCACCTATCTAATTACTAACGCGCTTGCCTACTTACTAACCTAGCTGAACACTTACATCATTCACTCACCGACCTCCTCACTGAATTTACGTAAGTACTTCTCTATTCACCTACTTACCTGTCCCATTACTTCATTACCTTACTCCTAAATGCCCTACTGGCTACCACTAAGCAGACCAGAAGTTAACAAAAGATGATGTGATCACACAACTGTGCAATCTCATTGAGATTGACCAGTTTGACGACGGATAAGATGTAGTACGCAACAACGTTTATGTGTTACGGAGGTACACCACCTATTTAGTTCGATGGAGCGCAACGTGGGAACCAGTGCCGCCAAATGATCTAGCTGACACAATGCAATTGCTAGAGAACTCGATATAAAGGGATTCACAGGTTGGAAGAAGATTTATGTTTGCCCTGTCAGCATCGGGTGCGAAGCAAGCGGTAGTCACAAGTTGGTTAGCTCTGGCGGAAGAGGGGCACAATCTGAGAGAAAAAGGAAAGACCAGCGAGACTCCGTGGGAGAACGAAGCTTCGGTGGCGTACTCAGAGAGAGAAACGGATGGACAAGAGGGTGTTCAAAGCAGGTTAAACCAATTTTATCATGATTAATGGGGATACAATACAAAGATAGACGCAAGGAGTTTATGTGCTAGGAACTTAATGCCGTCACTTCGGTGAGAATGGAAGATGCGGAAATGGTGAAAAGATTGTCGTTTTGGCCTCGAACAGAGCAAAGCACAGCAGTTTTCAAAGCAAACACGTATACGCACATGGGTGTGTGGACAACATTCGTGTCCAAAAATCGGAAATCGCTGACCCGATTCAAAATGAAACCTCATGTGAGAGAAGTGTGTCAATTAAAGAGGACCAAAGCTCCAA